ATTGCGACATACGTCTCCATATTATAAAATCTGCCCCTGAATTTATGAATCATGGAGGCAATCAGCCTGCTATGCTTATGAGCTGTTTAAACCTTTAATGGTAGCTATGCTCACTATGAAGCTGTCACAATAATTAGAAAACAGGTCAGAGGGGCAACAAGAGCAGTTATAGTGTCGCACACTACAGTGATTCATTTTGCTTAATATCTTGATTAGATTGCTCCTATCTCTCATCCTTAAAGTTTAATTAATGGCGGTACTCCGAAGTCAAGCCTCCAATGTGATCTTCATAAGACGAATACCATCGCTAGACTAGATGCGTCGTTGGACCAGCACTTCAAAAACGTGTATACTTATTATATCCACATATATGAACATTAAACAAAAACTCTGTGAATAATTTAATGGCATTAAAAATATGTGCCTCAATACAAAATCCGTTCCATTTTTCTTTAACGGCAAAAGAATACAGACCAGTTATTGCTCAATATCATTGCTATTATCGCAATTAACCAGACCAATCACTCCACGAACTGAGAACGGTCATGGGGACGAAGTCAACTTCTCCACCGTTATCGTCATAAGACGTATACTATTACTGGACCAAGGGACAAGAGTATTATTATTATATCCACAAATATAAACATTACAACTTAACTTTTTAACAAACAAAAATTCTGTAAATAATTTAATGTCATTAAAAATGTTATATCGTTCAATACAAAATTAGGTCTGTTTTAAAGACAAAAAAATACAGATCTTTTATTACTAAATTTGATTACTATTAACAAAATTACAAATCAGTCCACGCACCGCCACCAACAGCGCTATCGAATTGAGATAGCCATCAATTTTGCTTACACACACGTTGGCAAACTGGTGCTAAGTTTTGCCGTGTTTAGTCATCCTTACATCGCATCATTTATCGTTTATGGTTAGAACACGAGGGCGGCAGTATCTCTAGTTCGCCTGTGAACATCTAACTTCCGTTCCTGATTGATGAAAACATGATTGGTAAATGGTTTCGCTTGAGTTAGACTTAAAACTGTCCAAGAATTTCACCTCTCGCGTCGTAAAACTAACTTGTGTTAATCATTATGTCTCGATCTGCGTCACAAATATGTATATTGAAAGAAATTCAAAATATACTACCGTTGTACGGGCACGCATATATATTACTTTCTTCAATAAAAACAATTTTTTATACCTAAACAATGCTGCGAAATGCATCGGACTTACATAATTTAAAAAAACGGCAAGACACATCTAACTTTCGTTTCGGATTAATGAATACGTGATTGGCAAATGCTTGCGTTTAAATTAGATCTACAACTTTCCAAGAATTTCACTTAGATTAGTTTCTTCAATAAAAATCCTATCTGCGTTTTTAATAGTTTGTGTTTTGTATCGAGTATTCAAAAAAAAAAAAAAAAAAATTGAAACTGACATTAGGATGTGCAATTAAGTCTTCGTCAAAGAGGGGATCCCGAAGGATTGTGTTAGTTCTAGGACGATTACGGTGGAGAGATTGCTGGTCCTCGTAGTTCTCGCTTTCGTTACAAGAACAGAACTAAAACTAGGAACCACCAGCAAGCTGGTGCATAAGCAAAACCAAAAACTTTAAATTGCAAAAGAATGAAAAGCTACAAAATATATGTACTTAAAATTACAAAGCTACAGCCGGCAAGCCGACTTGGCGTGCGCGATAATGCTGATATAGCATGGTGAAATATCGCTAACTTTTAATTGATTATATTTATATATTTATAATCAAGCTGTGAAATTGAAGCTTAATTCGCGCTAACTATATTGAAAAAAACATATGATGCAAGCCCATGGATGAAATGCTGAAAGAAAGAAATATCAAAATTAGTGCTGCTTAATTGAAAAAAACCATAGCTAAGACTTGATTTATTTGAATATTCGTTTTTGCGCTTCACAATTTGATGATTGCAAAGTACAACTTTATTTCATTGACTCATAGTATAATTTATAAGAATACTACAGAGGGGCGAAAATAGTTAAGAATAATAATACGATAGTATAATTAATAATTAGTTCGATAGATATTTTATAAAATAAGGTATATAAGACGATTAACACAGGCTAAAGCCAATATATTTAAAAATGTTTATCAACTTTATTAAAATCTTAAAATTCTTGTTTATCGTTTTAAAAACCGTAAACGTTTTAAACGTAGATTTTTGTATATTGCCTTAAGGGCAATGTTTGGAAATTTAAATATATGGCGCTTGTATATGAAAATATGTGTTTTGTCTGTTTTAACAGAGTTGATGAACTTGTAATAAGTGTTAGGGTGTTTTTCTTTTTGGAAAGCTGGGTAAAATAGGCTTAAAATCTTAATTGCTGCAACAATTTTGTATTTTTGGAATAACACCCTTAATGTCACTGAATTCAAATGTATCTAACTATAAATTTCATTTGACCTACACATATTTTTCCCACATTTGTAAAACGCTTTTAATGAGTGGTTTTTTGCCCACATACATATATACAGTGTATGTATTACTTGTAAATTATTTACTTCAAGCTATTTAAGATTATTGTAGCTGAACATGAGAAGTATAAATTAAAAATTATAAAACAAGTAAGAAAGCTCTGGTACTGTCTGCGTTTTTTCACATTTTCCATTGCTTCCATCGAGTATTTAAAAGTAAAATGAATAAAATCCGATATTAGGACTCTAAGTTTGAACACGCAACGCACTTATATTTCTAATTTAAAAAAAAAAATAAACAAAAAAAACATCCGCCTGGCATTGAACTCACAGCTTCCCGGCAAGTACCACAGCCTCTACCAACAATGTCACTAAAGTAGCAAAAACTATTCAATTGCCATTTCGATTCTTCGAATAGAAATGAATGCACGCATTGGAATGTATGTGGGCACATATATAGGAAAAATGCGTGGGCTCGGCGCTGCTTGCCACGTGTTTTTGCAAATTGACCAATCGTTTTGTTTAACAACTTCCTTTTCTTAATGAAATTTTCAGCATATCTACATGTTCTATTGAAGTAATTGTCAGCAAACGCAATGCAATCTCCTCTATTTCCAATTAAACTTAAATTTATAGAATTTAAGGAAATTTTCAGCCGGTATCAAATATATAAAAAATCAACATTTTTTAAAATATACATACAACTAAATACAAAACTGGGAGGCTCTAGCTCGCAAGCTGTACGAGATATATATTAATAACTGCATTTCGATCATGTTTTTAATCAATAAAAATAAAAGAGGATCAGTTTTCGATTATTTGAAACAAACTTGATATGCGCGTACTACAAAACAACGAAAAGTGTCAAGTCTCTAGCTCTTATAGATGCCCAGGTCAACGCGTTCGCACATACGGACAGACGGACAGGGCTTAATCGACTCAACTTGTCTTGATTACGAATATATATACTTTATGGTGGTTGCCACGCCTCCTTTTGCCTGTTTCATACATTTCAACAAAACCATTATACCCTGATTGCCCATTTTCAATGGAATCATGGTATAAAAACTTGGAATAATGATATGATCAAAAAGCAGCGGTTACTTGACTTTGTAAACATTCATCAGCCTCTTTATGGATATCTTATATTATATGCGTGTTTATAAAAAGAATAAAAATACGCATACATTAAATACTTGCGTCCACATTATTTGCTTAAAGTATGAGTACATTTATTATTAGTTTTTTTAGCGGAGGTAACATAATAGCTGTTCAATATTATAATTTATGTATGCAATTTACATTTCATAGGACTTGAAAACGTGGGGAGAAAAATCTTGAAATATATGCTTAGTATATAAAAACATTTATATATATATATATATATATATATATATATATATATATATATATATATATATATATATATATATATATATATATATATATATATATATATATATATATATATAAAAATTAAAAAGCTTTACAATCTTAACTTTATAAGAAACGAAGAGCTCAAGGCGAGTTGACAAGCGTTGTTTATTGTTAGTTTTAAATACATAGCATATGTAAGTATAGTTTTGCCAGAGTTAAGTGACATTTAAAACTTTTATTAAGTTGCTTTATAAAGTTTTCTGTGTTCTTTTTTACATAATTAAAATTGTAGGTTTAACTTTGAGACTTTGCACAGCATTTAATGTATGTAATATACATTAACATTTTATATAAATAGTAATATTTTATTTTGAAGTCTTACAAAAGTAAAAATGTTTTTATAATAAAAATTCAATATCATCAACTTATCGAATGCAACTTGTAAAGTGAAAATTGGAAGTTGTAGTTTTAGAGTAAAAAAACTCAAAATAGTTCAATTTTAATTTTTCGATTTAATGGTGTGAGTTTTTCGCTAAGAGTATTCTTGTTGGATATTGAGGGGGCTCTGACTACTTTTAATTATTACTGTAGAGCCTTTAATGAATCAGTCTTTGCGTGTCACAAATATCAAATAAGTATGCAATATGTAATTATAATATAGAGTATAAAAATGACTATGAAAATCATACAGCAAGGTATAGTATAAGGATGATTTTAGTTAATATATTATCGAAATATATAGTTAATTTTTTAACTTGTTTTTTAAAATATGTTAAAAGCTTGAAATGAAAACAGTTATGTGTATGTTTTTAATTTAATTATATATAAAGAATATTTATTATAATGGTTATATTGATATATTGATTGTAATTAGTGGGATTTTTGTGAATGTATTTTTATTTTTTTTGGTCGAAAATCACAAAATACGAAATAAATAATAATCTCAGATTTTTCAACACAGAAACAAGAAAATATATATAAAGTTTAGGTTCGTGGAATTGGAAGATGCATAAGTTATTAATTACAGATTTTGATCTTATTGAATATTAACCTGAATATAAAAATACATATATATATATATATATATATATATATATATATATATATATATATATATATATATATATATATATATATATATATATTATATATGTTTATAAGTATTTATAATATGTATTTAATTGTCTTTTAGTATAATGCACATCTTTTGGGTCGTCAAGTTGTGCGAGACCACAAACTTTTGAAATTAGTTTCGATTTTGGTTTAAGCTGACATCATTAAATGTATTTATGTGGTAATTTATAATTTAGTTGTTGGGCTGTGCCGCAACATGCGGCGACTTATAAAAGTATTGCACAAACTCGGAGAGGCTGTAGACGGCGCCTGGTCCTTTGCCAGCGCTCATGCATATAAAGTCACCCAAACAATGCATGTTGGCTGAAAAATACAAACACAATAGTAAATTAGCTGTAGTTTGCAAGCTTCTTGCAGTAGTAGTTTATTACTGTTCGATAGAATGGGTGGATATAACGGTGGCGGTTTAATCCAGCTACCATCTGGTCGGCGCATGTGCCGGCGATCCGACGAGAACTCAATTAGATATGTATCTGCAGGTATAACTCTGAAAAATCTGAAAATAGAGTTAGAAACTTAGACTTTTATCGGGCTTTTGTGTTAGTTTGGACTGGTTACCTGTGATGCTCAGGTCGTAGAGCGAGATCGGACCGAAAAGTCTCCGTAACATACTTATGAAAATATGTCGGAAACGGAAGTGTAGTATCTAAGTCGAATACCAAACAGCGGTTTGGCAAGGGATTGTGCATAAAGAATACATGGTAGTCCTGTTTGGAAAAGAAATATGTATCTGAAATATGAATATTGTGCTAATATTTTGCAGGGCAGTATACCCATATCACAACTTGATCATCGCCACGTCCAGCTTTTTGGCGCCATAGCGGTACAGTTCGGCCCTCATTTGAGACAAAAACCGCATAGCACTTGTTCAGCTCTTCGGGCCGCGTGCGCTGCACTTGTTCACATAGCTTCCAAACGTTTTCCTCACTACAGTTAAATAGAAAAACAAATTAATAATAATAATAAATTCCCACAAAGACAACGATTTTTAGCCACATTTCAATTTTTGTACTTTAGTAAAATTCGCAATAATTAATTAGCGTAGAAATAACAGTCTAAAATTTAGGATATTTTTCAGTCGATCTCTTGACTAAGCCATTCTTGTTAAATTATAATAATTTGTGTCCCTTATCGGAACAGGCACCCGACTAGAGCGTGTGACTTGCATTTTAACTGGAAATCACCTATCTGTTCTTTTCTTTGTGATTTAAAATATAGAACAATTAAAGTAAACGTGATATGCGATTATATATATTGAATATAAAAAGAAATCAGAATCAATTGAGTAGGTACGGTAAATAAACAATGTTGTACAAAATCACATTGTAAAAGCTTCATGTGCTCAGGCGTTCTCAATGGATGGGCTCACAGCTCACAAAGCTTTGGAGAAAAACAGTGAGCGCGCGAGAGTGGTCGATTTGAAAAAAGCGTAAATGAGGGAGAGAGCGAGAACCACAGCGCATGCCAGAGAACTGTTTATTATTTTATTGGAAGTGTACACATTAGAAGTACAAATTGATAATGCACCTGAGTGCACTGGTTTAAAGCTAAGTGAATATATGAAAGCCATGAAGCTCCCTACATTTTAATACACCTTTTACACTTTTATAACTAAATTCATATTGTCTTTCATTTGTGTGCTTGTACATAGTTTCGCATTCAACTTTCTTGTTGCTAAAAGTTCAAAGAAAAAACGAAATTCCGCGGTCAACTTAATAGCACAACCCTCGCAAACCTCATACTCCATACACTGACTACTCTTGCTGGAAGACATGACCGTTTGACCCACTTTTAGTGCTGCGTGGCGGCGCGACAGGAAGAGACTGCCACTGGTCAGTTTAAGAGAGGTGGAGATGAGTAATGAGTGAATTAAAATGCGATGCAAAGAATTTCTACGATTATAAAGCACGAAAGAAGTAATAAATGTTAATTCCACAACTAAGATAACTCACTAAATTAAGAAAACTCATTACAAATAAGATACAAATATTTTCTTGACACATCAAGCTAGCGATGCTCATTTGCTAATCTCAGTAAAGTTGTAAGTTCATTATTTACAAGTGAGCCTTAAAATACTAATGTTGCTGAATAAGACTTTTACTAACCAGTAACAGGAGACATAGGAGCAATCCGCTATTTTTGGAAATAAAAAATCTGTTGACATTTTGATGCTTGCCCGTTTGCTTCTTGTTGTTGGGTTTTATTTTAGTTGTTTCTGCTGCTGATGAATGGTAGAATGGCTGCTGCACTGAATCAGTCTACCGGAGTTTCCGCTGCATACTCGTAAGTACGAGGGGATGATCACTACACAGCGTGTTAGAACCTAGATGTTTTCGTGTTGAGCGGGTGTGTGTCTGTTTCGTATATCATTTGAGTGACGAATGGAATGCACTAGCTCGAGTCGAGAATTAGGACTTTAATTGGCCGAAATCAATTTTCGTTTGTTCAATCAGATTGCCTCATTATTGGAATTAAATTTAAACTCTGAAATTGTTGATTGCAATTAGAAATTATTTTTAATGTGATTTTTACTGCTATAGCATTGTGGCTTAAACGGTCTGTGTGCATTCAGGATGCTTACTGACACAAGCAGACTCAAACGCGGGACACACACACACACATATATATATATATATATACAGATAGGTAGTTATACACAGCAGCGCACGCTCACGAGAGGCAATCAGCCGAATTATGGCTAATATCTTTTACTTGCTTTAAGTTATACTATGTAAATATAGCAGTATGATGATGACACACAATAAATGAACTCTAAGTCTTTTGGTGGGTGCCTCTCCTGTCCCGTCGTTCAGTTAGCTGCTCTGCCTGTTTGTTTTGATGTTTACTTTGACAGACTTGATAGCGCTCCCATGTGTTTGGCTGCTTGCTGTTTATATTCATACACACATATATATATATATAATTTATATATATATATAAATATATATGTGTTGTGTTAACAAGCGCGTGTTGGCTGCCGAAACATTGTTCACACATTCTCGATTCTCTACACATTTTGAAGGAAAACTATTCTCTCGACGGCATGGGGAATTTTCATGTTATTGCGTTTTCGATAATATCGTTTGCATCAGTGTTGTCAACGGACTTGAGATCATTGCTGTGACACCCAGCCTTTTAACGAGAATTAAACTACTTCATTCCCTTTCACTGCAACTTACAAAACACCATAATTGATGCAATTCTTTATAATTTAGGTATGTGTGTTTGCATTTTTGGTTGACACTTGAATGTAAAATAAAATTTAAATTGTTAGTGCAATCTTCATTTAGATGTAGCTATTTCTTCATCGATTTTTAGCATCATAAAATGAGGACTGACACAAACAGAGGCGAAGCTGTATACATCTATGTGTATGTATGGCGCACGCTCCCGGATACACATACATATATAGCAGGACATACGCAAAGTATTATTTGTCACACAGCAGGAAAACCACTTCGCGAATGATTGTAAAAGGGGTTTGCGTTAAAAAAAACATTGCGTCGTTCTCTCTTGTTTTGTTTTGTAATTTCACAGAGGTTAGTCGATAGCAAGTATTGAGCTTTCTATGTTTATGCTATGGCTGGGGTTCTGTGTAAGTGCGCCGTATGCGGATTATCACACACGCGCATCGGCGGCGCTTATGCTGTTTACGCTTTCCCGGTTCTCCACAGACTTCGGTGTCAAATAATTGGTATGAATAAAACAGGAAATTTTTCAGTTTCAATTCATCATTTTCTAGCACTGTGCAATTTCTGTATTCGATAGTTTTGCAACTCTGTATGTGCTGTATTCGATAGTTTTGCAACTCTGTATGTGCTGTCTGCTGACATAAGCTCACTGCTGCGTCACTCCACCATCTAACGGCTTTTCAATCATCTCAGGCAATTAGCGTAATGTCCAACACTACTGTATTTAATAATTTCTATCTAATCTTATTATTAACTGAGTGACAATTCCAGGCCTTGCCACTATTCTTAGTTAATAAACGTATATGGTGAAGCAAATGACAAATGCGAATTAGCCTAGTCGTGCCTTAAATAGATAACGTTCATAAATATTTAAATTTGTTCATGTCAATTTAGCCTGGTGAAAGATAAGTATGTGATATACGTACATGTTTTACAGATTGTAGATTACAGATTACAGATTTTATATAATTTTAAATAGATAACAATAGCTGATAGACAACATGTGGCTCATTTTGCTTTGTGTGTCTATTTTATTTTAATGAACATATAGCTTGAATTGCCTGAATTGAAGGTCACAGGTTTAACTCATTTGATAAGTCGCGACTAGCGAACGAATATATATATATATATATATATATATATGTAAACAGTAATATTGATTGCACTATTGGTTCTAATAAAGTAGTTTAAGGGGCAATTGAAACGATCATGACATACAAAATCCAATTGTTGATGACGTGTAAATAGCCTTATCGCCAGCCTAATAGTAGTAGTAATTTTTGGGAGAAAGACATCGACAACAAGTATGACAGGAGAGAAAGGGAGAGTAAGTGAATTTAGGGTTGAGTGATTAAAAGGATGGAGATAAAGATATAGCAACAGAGAAACAAGCAGTTGGGTTGAAAGAGATATACAACACAAACACCCCCGATCGCTTTATACCCTACACAACAAAAAGAAAGAAAGACAAAGAAATAATTAGTTTTATGTGTTTTAGTAATATTAATATATTGTTATATATATTGATTGCAGCATATAATCTATATACATATATATTTATATATATATATATATATATATATATATATATATATATAAATTTATATATATATATATATATATATATATATATGATGAAGGGTATCTGAAGGCAAATACACTCTAGATTAGAGTGATCTTATGTGCTTTGAGTTTGGGAGGCATTTTACATGGCAAGCACAGTTTAGTCGTTCGGAACGTCTCGATGTTGTTGGATTACGAAGTTGCACCTTCAGTTTAGCCAAAGTTACTTTACTTTAGCGGAAAACGACTTTCGCTTCTGCGCTATTTGCTAAAAGAGACAAAAACAGGCAAGCGTCTTTTAATTTTATACATATATATAGATATATATTTATATATATATATATTATATATATATATATATATATATATATATATTATATATATATATATATATATATTATATATATATTTATATATATATATATTGATATATATTTTTATATATCTTTTGAACTATTTGTTCAAGACGACCGTGTAATCGTGACGTGGTTTTATTCAAGCCGGTTCTCTAAGTCTTTATTTAAACTAAGACATAACCTGTTTTCAAATATGTTTGGTGATCACTGAGGGATAGACATTAGACAAAACGAGATTTTTTCAGGTCTTCAAATTCAGTTTCATTCGATGAAAATGTTCATTGAGACAGTAGTCTGATTAATATTATCACGCTGTTATTGGCAATTTAATTGCGATCGCAAGAAAATAACAAACACAAGTCAATTCTTTGTTAAAGATAATTAAGTTGATTGAGTCACAAATTGTTTTGTTATATGCATAGTAAATATTTGAAGTAATTCTCAAGCACTATATAAAGCTAAGACAATCAAAAATCTATAAACGTACATACATACATGTGAACACATGGTATGTTATAGTCGGACCTCCGATACACTTTTTTGTTATATTTATTATCAGTAGAGGTTTAATCGATTTGGCTCACCTTGGACGATTTTCAATCGTTAGCAACGAGCTGATACAAACTAGCTAGCTTTTGATTGAGCTTTCTTGACCAGCAGATAACCTGTCACTACAAGGCTCTGGTTCATATCAGCATTTCAACGTAGTTCTCTCCATATATATTTTTGTATGGAATCATCATCTTTCAATAAAATATGAAACAGCTTAAAACAATGAAGATGTGACTGACTCAGTCTTATCAGATTAAATGTTGTGTATCTTATGCTCAGAAATATCATTGTAGTAGTTTTGCGTTAAAGTGGTTTGACCCAACTGCCAACGGCATCGTACAATTGATATGTTATTGTCATTGTCATTGTCAATAATAGAATAAAAATATTATAATTTGACATCGTCGTTTTACAGAAGTAATGGACTTGAAAGTCGAGGATCGGGGAGAACAGCTGCTCGGTAGTCCTTCCGAAAGAGGTGAGGGTCAGCACACACAGATCGTAAATGGACTAAATCGAGTCGCAAAGAAAATACCACTGGGCGAACAATCACGTGCAGTGCACCGCCAGGCATTGATGGTTATACTGGCCAATATGGGTGTAGTATCGACTGGCTTAGCCCTAGCTATTCCTACAGTTTCACTGCGCCAGCTGACTAGCGAACTGGAACCTGTATATTTGAATGACACACAAGCGTCCTGGTTCGCTGCCATCAATACATTATCTTCTCCATTGGGTGGCCTATTGTCGGGTTTGCTGCTCGATAGAATTGGACGTAAGCGAACTCTCTATGTGCTAAATGTTCTAGCCATCACGGCTTGGACTCTGCTTGCCACACCGAGCTCAACAAGTTCAGAAGCATTTTACTGGCAGTTGCTCGTATCACGGTTCATTATTGGTAAGTACTTTTACTATCAACTAAAACAACAAGTTACTTAGCTCGCCGTTTTTGTATTTGCAGGAATAGCCATGGGTCTAGCTAGTGCGCCTTCTGGTGTTTATGCGGCTGAAATTAGCTTGCCCAAGTTACGTGGCAGCCTTATACTTGGTACCTCCATATCAGTGGCTTTGGGCATCACGATTCTGTATAGCATTGGTTACTTCATACGGGATAATTTTCGACTCATTGCGCTTATTTGCTGTTGCTATCAGATTACCGCTTTGCTTTGTGTGCTCCCATTGCCAGAGTCGCATAGTTGGTTGTTATCTAAGAAGCGTGTGGAGGAGGCTAAGAAGTCACTTAATTATTTTCGTGGGCTCAACAAGTCATGTGAGTGATGTTATTTGAGGCAATTTTAATATAATTTCCATTCTTTCTAATTGTAGCACACATTGCACATAATGAAGTTTTGGAGGAGTTTAATATTTTGCAAAAGTCACTGCAACTCCGTGATGGTGAGAGGAAGCCCTCTTTCTTAAGCTGCCTAAAACTACCTGAGGTATACAAGCCGCTGCTGATTCTGATGGGTTTGTTCGCCTTTCAGCAGCTTTCGGGAATTTTCGTGGTCATTGTGTACGCCGTTCAAATCTCCACTGAAGCAGGTGTCTCGATTGATCCGTTTATGTGCGCCGTTCTCATTGGAACAGCGAGGGTAGTGACAACTTGTCCCATGGGCTATGTGCTAGAAAAGTGGGGTCGGCGACGTGCTGGAATCATTTCAACTTTTGGCATGACCGTCTCCATGTTACTCCTGGCTGGTCATGGTTGGTTTGAAACTCTTCAAAGCATACCTTACCTACCAGTCATAGCTATTGTAAGCTTCATTGTACTTAGCACACTTGGTCTATATACTCTGCCTTTCTTCATGATTTCGGAGCTGTTTCCTCAAAAAGTGCGTGGTCCGGCTTCAGGTCTAACTGTGGCAGTGGGTATGTTCTTTGCCTTTTTGTGCATCAAAATATATCCGGACTTAAAGTCGAGCATTGGAATGAACAACTCTTTTGTGTTCTTTGGTGTAATGTCTTTCTTGGCTATGGCATTCATCTATTGGATCCTGCCCGAAACACGCCGACGCACTCTTTTGGAGATCGAGGAGCAATTTCGTACTAGCCAGCAGAAAAGGAGACTGACCGAAGTTGAAATGCAAGAGGTTTTCCTAGGGAGATAAGAGGCAGACAAATAAACAGTAAATCAATATTGAATAGACGCGGGCTTTGTGCTGTGATACATACATTTACATACAATTTAAAGCTTACAGATATTAATAATGTAATTTATTTCAACAGTCTAACACCACCACTTTATATAAAAAAGATTAAAACGCCCCTTCTCCGTATAGCATTAACACTAGAGCCTCTCGCCAACGAGTGCCGCCTCTACCAAAACCGCCACTGCACTCCCTATTATTCAATCGCAATTTAGATTTTTCGAACAGAGCACAATGCACGCATTTGAATGATTGTGTGCACGTAATCAGGTGAAATTCGTGCGCTTGGCGCTGCTTGCCACGTGCTTTTGCAAATTGGCCAAACGTTTTGTTTAATCATTTCTGTTTTACTTAATGGATTTTAATTTGGAGAATTCAAAATAAGCCTAAAAATTTAAATTGTATAAGATTTACACAATAGCCAAATTTAAAATTTGACGGCTCTAGCTCGTAAGCCGAGATTATAATTTAATAACTGCATTTCGATCATGTTTTTAATCGATAACAACAAAACGAGAATAGTTATTAATTATTTGAAACAAACTTGATCGGCGCGGGATATGCACACACCAAAAACAAAACTCTTTCAAGGCTCTAGCTCTTATAGATGCTGAGATCGAAGCGTTCACACAGACGGACGGACGGATGGACAGGTAGACGGACAGGACTCAATCGACTTGGCTTGTCGTCTTGATCAAGAATATATACACTTTATGGGGTCTGCTACGCCTCCTTCTGTCTGTTACATACATTTGAATAAAACCATTATACTCTGATTTCTCATTTTCAATGGAATCAGGGTATAACAACAATCCTTGATAAGTATTGTATAAATAAGAAATAAACATATTCCTATATTCCATTTCCGTGAACTTAGAGACTTATTAAATCAAATACCTGGACATTGTTGCAGACTAGCGAGAAGTGTTTTCGCATCATTCGCTATAAGTACCAACAATGAACTTACATGCAAATTTTTGTAATGATAACGTTAAAACTAATATGAGCCCGCTGCAGCATGTCCGGACCTCAGTGTGTCTCTTATTATATCCAGATTATGCCCGGGGCCCAACTCGGGCTTGTTGGCTGTCTGGTGGGTCTGCCGTGGACTGGTTAAAGTGTTCTGGTAAATTTTGCTCTGGTCATTAAATCTAACAAGCAAGGTACCACAATGCCATGACCATGAGCGTGTGCCCGAAAATCGGCTGGTGTTCTGTGTTGGCGCACCAGCTTGGGGCGTTGGGCCCAACGTTTATGTAATTATATTAAGTTTTCAATTTTATGGCTTAATAATGCAGTGGGCAGCGCGGCCAGCCGGCGCAACGGCTTCACAATGTTTGGGCGACAAGCGTATAAGCTGCAGAGCTTGGGCCGAAGCAAATTGATCGCGATTGAGTTAACAGCTCGGCGCTAAGCATGGACCGAACAGAATCAAGTTGAATGAACTTGACACACAGAAAGGATAACTAAAATTAATGAGCTGCAAATGTGTGAACATTAAAGCTTCCGCTTCTGGTTGTGGTTCTGCATCTGGATGCTGCATACAACAACCACTGGTCCATTCCCTGTGGCGGTGCTCTGCTTCATAATCATAATCATAATCTGTCAGCTTCGTGGAGTTGACACCTGCCGCTAAATTTCGTACATCCGCACATCAATTACACCAGATCAGTGAGATGTCAGCACTTATAACAACAATAGCATCCGATTAAATGAGACGTAACGCTGCAAACAATAACAATTGAATCACAATTCACAACCGCTGACAGCGCAGCATATGCGCACTCTAATAAAGCCAATCTGTATCTATATGTTACCTTCTGGAGTTACCCATGCGTAAACCACATAGTGAGGACAGCACAACAGTATAAAGGTTCTAGGGGATGCGATCCTGGCTGACTTTGGTCGATTCGATCTTGTATTTTCCATTTATTTTGGTGTCATCATCATCATCGCAGCATGTCGCGTGCGTGTCCTTTGTTTTGATGAGATTTTGATTATGTTTGTAAGGCAATATATTTTGCCAGTTTCAAAAAACTGTAAATAGTTTTGTGCATTTAAGTGTATAATTTATTGCATGTGGTTAAAGATTGACTTTTGAGACTCTTCACGTTATGTGAATTGTGAAATACATTTCAGTGTGACATATTTAAATGGCTTCAAGTACATCGCTACTTATGGATTTTTAAAGACTCATGATCGCACGACCTGATTGCACACCTTACAAATGGACTTGGGGAACATGACTTGGGGAACATGTACATCTTTTGACCTGAAGGACTAAGTGCAATGGGGGCAGGACACAACCAATTTACAAGAGCACCGCAGCTGCGCACGATGAACGCATGTTTCAAGATTGTAAACAAGTCTACCGATCCACCTTTTCACTGATCTCGAAGTGATTTCAGTAATAACGATGTACATCTCGCTGCCAGCAGACATCTGCTTACTCGTTGCGATTATCTTCCATTCTAACCAATACCGCTTGTTTTGGTTGTATAATGTGTTTGCAAAGGTGTGCCAAGCGGCACATTAGCTGAAAGGAATAAGTCGATGCGTTCGAGCAATGTCACGAAAAAGTGAGAATGGCACTAGACTTCAAAATAAAACCATAGTATAATAGGTTTTTCATTCTACGGTAAATTGCTCCCTTTCAAATTTTTTAATTTCATAAATGTTTAATTTAATTACTTAATAATCAATCGCACGTCTTTGTTGGCTCTAGTGTACGGGTGAATGTAAGGCTGTAACTTAAAATCAGTTAAGGCCGTTGTCGTAGAACTTTTATTTTTCAATTAGTCTAGCTACTGTTTTTGACTCTGTTTCTTTGTGCCGCCAAAGAGGATAACGACCTGATGCCTTACCAGAAGGAAGATTGGCTTTTGCATTTTGAAGAGGCGCGGCTTTGCCTCGTAAAAATATTGCATTTAGCCAAAGACACGGTAGGCAAACGCTTTGCGGATTTTACGATGCTGAGCTGAAAGAGCACAGTTTACGATAATTTTAACACTCTGATGAGGGGATGTAGGATCTGAAAGCGCAACTGCCTGGCTGGCCATAGACAAGCGTAAAATTAAATTCGTTTCTATGATGCACTAAGATACTTAAAGAGGCGTTCGAGCCTTTAAAATTCAATTACCTTCACCGAAAGATTGAACACCATCAGAAGCAGCTGCTCCCAGCAGGAAGCACGCAATAAATGGAATATTTTAAATATGCTGCTTATTCTTTATTGAGATTATTGTTAACTTGTGTGATTATTCAAATTGATGCTAAGATGATCCACTCATTGTGGGTAGTGAGTGACGGTTTGGAGTAACTTAGTTTTCATGAGTCTATGATTTAGACTAGTTTAAAAGCATCTACCAAAATGTGTGGTTTTTGCGACTTGTTAGTGAGTGGTTATTTCGTAATTTTCAATTAAGATATAATAATGTCAACATTTAATTTATTGCAAGGGTTTCTTTGTACACGCAAACCTTGGGTAAACAAGCAACCGCTCACCCTTGTCTGCTTCGGCCATTTTGTGTGCTCGTTGGTGCGTTCTGTGTCGTCCTTTAATGTGAGAAAATGTTACAATTTGGCCGACGTGCTGTCAAAGTCCTTTGTAATTGTTCATTTTCTTATCTAGATTTGCTGACCCATCCGTCCGTCGTCCCACGTCCCACGTCCCACTTGCAGGCAGGTGTCGCCTGCAATCCTGTGGAAATTACGTTTTTATTAATTGGCCATTTGGAATAGATCGAATAGATGGTGAGACAGACAGACATGGTCGACGTATTCTTCGGTTTTTTATGACAGTTAAGAATTGCGAGTAGGCGGACTACAACATAAAATAGAATTTTTGGTAAACGTGCAACTTATCTTATCGTATTTTGAATTTTCTAATTGTTCCAATGATTGCCTGTTTGGGCAGGCAGCTCGCTTCCTCTCTTAGTAAGGTGTTGCTGCACGTTTCGGCGCGTGTCTTAGTCCCAGTCGCAAGGTGCACCTGAGGCCTGCTGCAACTTCTTTGCCATCTTGAGCTGCATCCGTCAAAAGAACGTCGCGTGTAAACTAAAGAACTACAAGGAGAGGTAACCTCGTGTTCATGATTTTAGGCACATGCGTAACCTGCGCCAATTTGGCCCGCACAAAAATCCTTGTCTTCTTTGTTATCGTCATCGTCGACGACGTTGCCGGCTTTGTTTCGGCTAAAACGCTGTGCGTTGCATCTGCTGATTGCAACGTCCAAGTCAAACTCGAAATCGAACCCTCAATTAGACCGCCCCTTCAATTTGAAAGTATAGAGTGTCTGAATATTCTTATATATGACAGACGCAAAAACCCCAAGTTGACTAGTCAACTAATTTGGTCGACCGCTTCGAGGCACCCACGCAACAACGCCAACTTTTTGCAGTTCACGTAGTTACTAAGTTTCAAATTCTTGATGCTGGCCTCGCATGCACATCCAACAGAAGCGACAACAGCGCATACAGTTTCTTATTAATGACCATGAAATGTGCCTCCGAGTCATTTCGGTAGACTACCTGTCTTCAGACAAGCAAGCTCGTGGCCAATTTTAAATAATAATTTTAATGACTGCAGCCCTGAGGATAGCGACTGTTATTATAAAATATATAAGCATTTTTTTGGGAAAATAATAATATAGATGCATTTCTTCATTTAGCTGTAGGTTAAGAATTTGCGAACGTTTTTGTTAATGTTATTATTACATATTTTCACTACAATTTTCATGAAATATTTAAGCCACGTATCTCCAAATAAGTAATTAATATATATTTAGTATTTATTTGAAATCCGTTTTTTCAGTATTTCGGACAAATATATCGGATAATCTTGATCTTAGGTGCGTGGCAGCTCTTACGCTTACAGCATCCTTAGTGGAAAGGTCAGCAGATTTAATTTCAATTACAAAAATAAGCGAATGTAACGTTAATTATATCTATTGCTACAAGCGATGCGTAGGAAAAGCCACTCAATTGGAAGAAGTTAAGCCGATTTGACGCCCTTTTTGCAAAGCGCGTCCTACACTAAACTGACTTTTACTTCCGGTGGCTCTTTTTTGCGCATTGAATGGATTATAAATTTAACTTCCCACACAGATTTGTGTGTCGACCTTAATTGGGGCGTGTTGTGGGCTGGGTTTGGGTAATTGCAACCACTTGAAAAGCTCATGGTCACATAATCGCGTTGTCTGTGCGCCGAACAGACAGCAGAACAAGCAAAGTGGGTGCTGGGTGGGTTGATGAGTAGGCTACGTTGGGCGTTGCATCCATATGCCTGGCTGACTCTGTTGATCTTATTACTCCGCGCTTGGCTGAATGAGAAAATGCGGGGCAGCTGCTGGCTGGTTGGTAATACTGGATATGAGAATAAGGCTGGGGATGAGGATGAGGATGAGTATCATTTTCAGTACCAGTGGCAAGCGCCATTGTGTGAGCCACTCGACTTGGGCCTCGTGCTCTTTTGACAGTTTTATCTCAGCCTTGCAGAAATGTTGTTGACGTACAGAAAAGTGTCATATACCTTTTTAGCCATTGCAAGTTCTTAGAAGATTTCATGTTTGAACCATAAGTTTTAATCGTCACAAGTAGATTTGCTTATGACACGCAGATGAGTGTTAAGAACTTGCGTACCTCAATTGGATACATACAAACGCTTTAACGTTATAAAAAACTATCAGATTTTATTCATTGATTTTCCGCAGGTAAGCTGAAAGCTTCGCACACAATTACGTTTTCCAAATTGAAAGCTCTATTGTTCCATATATAAACGATAGCCACCTTTTATATTCAGTATGACAGTTTTATCTTTCGTTGCCAGTCTTGCCTATTTAAAATCAATTTTCAATTGAAATGCCAGGCGACAATTGTCATATTCAATTAACACTTACACCACCAAAGCGTTTCTTAATTCCACCACCCAAAAACCTATTTACCCATTTACCCACTCCATGAGCTTCAGAAGAGCGAGAGAAAGCCCTGCCGTAGGTAACACCGGCGCACGCCTGTAGCCGTCGTTGTTTCGCTCAGGACAACGGCTGCGCTACACACAGACTACCATAAATGTATATATATATATATAATTCTGGGGCTATGCTACTGTCACATTGTGGTGGGCATGGAGAAACATTCGCGTGCTGAGTTGACGCTGCCGATTGGCCGGAACGCGACTGCAACGGCAACGGCAACGGCAACGGCAACGGCTACGGGTACGGCTGCCGCAACGCTTTAACATTGGTGTACGATGGTATAAAATGATCTCCTATATATAATATTTTGATTAACATTTTTAAATAAATGAATGTTTAGACTTGGCTTAAACAATAAGAATTATATATAGTGAATATAGATTTTCGTGTTATCATGGGGTTATTGCTTAACATTTAAGGTGGGCTTTGCACAGTCGATCAGAATTTGTATTATCGCTTCAAATATTTTGTGTTTAGTGCATAAATATAAAATGAATATCGTCACCTTGCTAGTTTTCATATCTGTTTGTGTTTTATTAAATATTTATCTTATATCATAGACATGGGCTTTTTGACTCCATTGTGTTCGTCATGCCAGCGAAGGATGTGTGCAGTTCCACGGTGCGCTTCTTTCAAACCTTTGAGGGCATTGAATGGAACGAAACCCACGGCTTCGACCAATCATAAGACGCGCACTGCCAGCACAACACATGCGCAATATCAAGCGACTGTTGATTGGCCGTGAGCCGCACAAGCGGGGCTGTCGCTGCTGGTGTTGTTCTTGTGTTTGCCGCAGCAGACTGTTGTCTGTTGCTGGTGCCGTGAAACCGGTTACACCAGAAAAACGTTTCGTCCGTCTTGTGGCAGTCGAGACGCCGTGAACATTTGTCAGTGTGCGTATATTTTCGGGTGGCGGCAGTAGCCCAGAGTTGGCTGTATGTAACGCGGTAGGGCACCGGACACGGATACTTCAGAGCAGATCATTGATGCTTTGTACGTTGCTAGCGTGAATCGCATGCATTAGTTGAAATTTTGACGGTCGAGTGACTAGGTGAGCGGCGTCGCGGTCGGCAGGCTAAAACAGTCTTCATTTCACTTAACTATACGTAATTCATGGCAAACGTTGTGTGTTGTAAGTTTATATTGAAATTGTGCTGCAAGTGAATCAAAAATTTAGTTAATAATACCACAATCAATAAGAGTAACATCTTAGATGAGATCAAGCAATTTACAAAAATAAATTAAAGGAAAAAGAATAAATAATTGTTTTGCATGAGAAAGATAAGCCAATTCAATATATCAAGGTTCTAGTACGCTTCCTAGCCTTGATGACATGAGTTAGTCTTCAGAATATGATCTTGATGTTCAGTTAACACTCCATCAAAATCAATCGTGGTCACATTAAGCACAAAATTAACATCTTAATACAATTGTTAACATTATTTGACTACATTCGATCATCAGACAATGCTCTTTGGCCAACCTAGTGAGCGGCAATTTAACGGGACTAAATTTATTCAGACTTCATTAAAACTAAGTGAATATATTCAGAACGGATATTGCTTTAATTTTATGGGCTCAACAAATTTAAATCGCAAAGATCGCGAAAAGTCGCATAGAAACTGAGTTTCCGTTGGCCTCTGATAACTCATAAAATCTGCTTTTTCCCACGAGACAAACTACAAAATTCAAAAATCGTATGCTAATTAATTCTATATCAGGCCGTTTGGTATTATGGGCCATTGATTTTGAAAGCTTTCTACTATACCAGCCGCTTAACAACTTATTTAGCTGTGGTGAGCAAACCCAAAACGATATTGATCTCGATACTGTTTCTAGCTGCTTTTCTAACAGTTTCTAAACAGCAACCTAAGAGGCGGCGACTGGCTTCATTGATATTGTTGTCCATATTTCTTACTCTAATACCTTTACATGTTATCATTTGCTACACCAACAAAATCATAAGCCTATACATATTAAAATGTCCAAGCGTATGTTTTAATATAATTTGTTATTTTAATTAGCGAGCTTTATGCCCAACGGTGCGTTGCGCGGCTTTTCTTTGCTGAAACAGAAGCTCGGCGAACCTGTCGGTTCCACTTTCGGCAATCGTGCTTATTTAAATTATTGTATGTTTAACTAATTTCTGTTATTTTTATGTGTGTTACCTGTGATTGGTGTATAAGTATTTGAACATTGAGTTTTTAAAGCACGGCTGCCAGTAGCTGGCTCACATCCGTATCAAAAGCAGGAATATATTTGTCTTAAAAATGTGTATCATTTGATAATTAACACAAGATTAATTTTGCTTAGGGCCGGCCAGTTAATTCATAGCGCTAAGAGAAATACGAGTAAAAGTAACCCTTTCTTTTGGAAATTGAAAGAGCTTAGCTTGCAAATAAATGCTTATCGCAGCCTAATGTGCGCATAAGTCTGTGGCACTTAACAATTTTAACGGCTGCCACGAGTAGCTCCAAAACTAAACCAAAACAACAGAAAACAAAACAAAACAATAAACAACTTAATTTTGGGCCTTTGAAGAGCAGCGCTGCAGTCCACACGCGCATTTGGAATTTTACGAGCTGAAAAGTAACCGAGCAGCCAAATCCTTAGGACTTGGGGCAATTAAATCTAATGTGAATTCCATAATAACATGAGCATGACAAAGTACGAAGACTATGGACCCAAGGGGTAGTTACACATTTTGATTTATACGGTTCTTCGGAGCGCATTTTCATGCCTTTGACAGCCTGGCGACAGGTTAACCAGCGAGTTCACTGTTAAACTGCCGGCCCATTCATTCTAATGACAGGAAGCGGAAACCGCAGTGGGGGTGACCTGCTCCTGTCGGCAGGTTTTATATTTGCATATTTTTTTGGGAATGTTTTTAGCCAAATGAGCAATTGGCCAGAATGTATTTTAATTGTTGCCCAGCTCCATGCATTTGCATATTTTGAGCCTTGGCCACAGCGGACCAAACATGCAATGTGCTTTATTTAGGCCCAGAATTGTGATAATAGGCTAGTTCACGCTGCGCCAAGAATGTGCTTGATAAGCAGCTAATTTAAGTTACAACAAAAATCCAAGCACTACGCATTTGGGAAGAGCCCATAAACCACTGAACATTAAATCGCCCGTTGACCGTATATCTTAAAACTAGGACTTCCAGCTATATAAGCATTGCCTTATGTGGCTGGCTTCCAGGTTTTATGAAATAATTAAGTTTTATGTATTTTCCTTACTAGTGTTCACTGATCTGATTCCGAGCTGACAACTGTGTGCAGAGATTTCGTGGAAGCCGTAAAAACCCATCGCCCCAGCTACTAGCTACTAGCACACAGTCGGGCGACCGTCTGCACCAACATTCATCAACTGCAGCAGCATCAGCACCGGCATCGGCATCGGAATCGGTACTGGCAGCAGCCAACATCATCTCGCCGACTAGTTTAATGGGGTTCTTGCTTAAAATTTGATTAGAATTCGACGATTAAGCACAACTTTGGGCCGAACCCATCGACTTGCATAATAAAGCTCACGCAGGCAACGCTACTCACTTTAAACAGTTGCCAAAATTAGAGTTGAGCACGGTTCTTAACAATGCCCCATACAGGTGAGTTTCCGATCACTTTGGATACCTAATGAGCTAAAACTGCTTCAATGAAAGCATTCAATGCGATCACGCCCTAAAATATACTAAAAACAAGACTTAAAATACTTATTTTGATAGTGATAATCGCGACAGCTGAAAGGCAGTCACAGCCCTTAGGGTAAAACTCTTTTGCGCTCCATAAAAGAGACAGCAAACATAAAATTCGCACTTCATTAAACTCGAAACCAACGCCCCGAGCAGTTGGGTAAGGTAGAAGGCAAGTTGTTAACAGTAGCGATGCCTCGGGTCGGGTGGGCTGAGACGGTACGGAAGAGCGATTACGATTACTCATAAGTTTGAGCGTAGATCCCGTTTAGGGTAAGAAGAGAATGGAAATGGTTTTTATTGAGCACACGGCTTTTGAGGCATCAAATCTCTTTCAGATTAGTGGATATACTCTTATAATAGTATATACTTTAACAACGAAATAACTATTTTCCTATTGCAGGCCAGGCGGGTGTCAATCAGTTGGGCGGAGTCTTCGTCAATGGACGCCCATTGCCAGACTGTGTGCGTCGACGCATCGTCGACTTGGCGCTGTGTGGCGTTAGGCCTTGCGACATATCCCGACAGTTATTGGTATCTCATGGTGAGTATGGTGGCTAAGGTTGCGATTTAAATACAATCAACTAAAAGGATTTTCGGCTCTTTCCACCTGGTAGGATGCGTTTCCAAAATTTTGACGCGCTTTTATGAGACAGGTTCCATCCGGCCGGGATCTATTGGTGGCAGCAAAACGAAGGTAAGATTAATGGGTAGGGGTCGGTCCGTGGGATAGAGGCACGTGTGTGCTCCCATGAAATCAACATACGATTACATGTATAAAAATCAAACGCATAGTAGTAAATCCATAAAGTATCACAGATAAAATAGGTATTTTACATGTTCTTCGGACGACAGCTTTTATAGATTATTCGGGGAGACTGTTGCGTGGGCAGAGCGCAACAAATCAATCTCATTGGCAGGCATTGATAACGGTATAGCACGCTTTTGTCCCCACCGGGATCATAGTAGTTGGCGTTCGTCAACTGCTTCATTTCACACGCTCAATCAACTTATTGCGGCTACTGTGTGGCTTCTACGGTTGCGGGCCAGGAGAATCGCTAAGCATAGTGAACCTGCGTATGTCAACATAAGCTGCAGGTTAAACAAATGTTCAGGTGTGCTTACTGTTTTCCAAACACAACAGCTTCAAATAGAACTCGTAATTAACCTCCAAGTGAAGTGTATTTCATATTGTACGGGCGCGTGATATGGTGATTCAATAACTGCCTGCACTTGCTCGGACAAAACGTGCATTTAACACCTACGCCATGTCAATATGGAAGTGTCACCCTGGGGCTTACTGAGGAAAAAGAGTGCTGAGTGGAGAGGGCGTAACAGTTATAGAGGCCAAAGCAGGGGTTAGATGACCTGACCGGTCATACAAAGCGCCTTCGTGTGCATGATTTGATAAGATCTCTGATGTAAATGTGAACTCTCTAAGGGGCGACTCCGAAGTATACCTGTATTTATGAATTTTTAATGAATTGCCGCGTCACACGTGAACGTTGAGCAAGGCGACTTTAGCGGCACACCTTTTAAAATTAAAAATATGCAGTTAGCATATAGCTTTAAAAAACATAAGTTGATATATATCTATTGAAACAACAACTGAGATGGGTGGTTGTTGACTGGCACTTGTACTCTAAGGCCTTGGCAGTCTGATAAATAGTTCTTGTACGTACATTACCTTAAACAATAAAATTTCACGGCATTTAATGCCTTGGACATAGCGTACACATCAAGGGAAACCAGTGTCTAAGCCACACCCTTTCTCTTTTTCATATCTTTACCAGCAAGTTGCAACGCCCACTGTGGTCAAAAAGATAATACGCCTGAAGGAGGAAAACAGTGGCATGTTCGCTTGGGAAATACGTGAGCAACTGCAGCAGCAGCGTGTTTGCGATACCAGCTCTGTGCCGTCGATCAGCTCAATTAATCGTATATTGCGTAATAGTGGTCTCTGGACAGATGAGATGACTTCCAGTCAACAGAACGCGGCAGCTGCAGCAGCGGCAGAGGCAGCGGCAGCGGCTCATCAGATTTCTGGCAGCGGTACGCCTACCGCTTATGCCTCGTCTGCGCAGCTGTATGCAAGCGGCGGCAATGCAGCCGCCGTAGCTACACGTATTACGCCCACTACTGGCACGCCCCCTATGTCGACGTCAAGCTTGCATTCACGCTATACCAAAGCGTCACCTTCGCCTTCATTACTGAGTGATGGGCTACCTCTCAAACCCGCGCCCAAGCTGCCTCCATCTCATGGCAATAGTCCTAGTCATGGACTGGCAACTGCCGTGTCCAGTCAGTTGGGTGGCTTAGATTTAAGCTACTCGGCACTGCACAAGCACTGGCTATGGAATCCTTCACTGCTCTACTATACCCAAGCACACATGCAGGCAGCCCAGGCGGCAGCAGCAACGGGCGGTCCGATTTTGCCCTATGGAGGCGCCTTCATAGCTCATGGTGCAGTCAGCATGGCCGCTGTGGCTGCAGTTACGGCAGGAAGCTGTGCAGTTGGTGGCGGTTTCACAAAATCTGAGAGCTCAATTGATCTGACCAAACCGTGCGCCATGGGCGATCCGTTGAGTGACTGCGATTCAGGAAAATCCTCGCCGTTGGCGCTTACTCTGAGTGCAGATACAGCGAGCGTTACAGATATGGTGAGCAGCAGTCCTAATAGTCGCAAGAGGAATCCATACTCCATTGAGGAGCTACTAAAGAAGCCTGAGAAGCGTTTGCGTTTCAGCAGCGAATCGCAGGCCAGTTTGGATCGATGTACGGCCAAGCGTGATAATGTTGAATGCATAAGTTCAAGTTCCACTTCAAGCTCCAGCGAAAGCAATACTAGCAACGTCAGCTTCGATGATACAGCTACATTGACAAGATCTCAGCTGGAAGAAGCTGACAATGAGGAAGATTGCAGTGTCGAGGTTGTCAACTAGGCCATCTTAGCTGACTGCGTTTACCTAATCTTAGTAAGAATCCCAGTTTTAAGCAAATAATACATATGTTTACTTTAGATTACTTATTCGTGATAACTAATTAATCGAAATAAAATCAATCGATCTGTGTAAATGTATTTGGTACCAATATGCTATGTTCGTTTCATTTCTAGGCAATTAAATGACTCAATAATTGTAAAATAAATTCGCAAATATTTCTTACAAAATATTTTGTGCGTTTTCACTTTGCGAGAATTGGGGAATGTCTAATTATTCATATACTTGTTATTATAAAAATATAACTTTCATAAATATGATGTGAAGTTCTGAGCTTGAGCATAGTTGATTACTAAGATGGGGTCTTAACTAGACCATTCTTGATTAAATTATTTTTACTACAGCATAAAATTAAGTATAACGTGAGCTTTTGCGTTGGTTTTCAATGAGCTGCCTGGTGGTCCCTGGGTTGCCTTGTCGCTCGATCGTTCAGTCGGTCTTTAATTAACTAGCGTGCCAGCGAAGTGTCAACAAGTTGCCAACACCACGAACAAAACTTCATTGCAAAGTACAAAATTACAAGATGTCTGACACGACCATAACTATCGATCGCCCGCGGTGGCAACTGCACTTCTTCGCACATCGTTCCACCGCAGATTCCTGACACAATGTGCTGTGACAGCAAATACTTGGGGCACAACTAAATTTAGATGCTTATTACAATTTTTTATATTATTCTGACACTTTAAAATTATTTAATTATTATTATTATTTTAAGGAAAATTTTGTATAATAATTTAACTTTTACTAAGTTGCAAACATTCCTTTGCAAATTGTTATTGTAAAACGCATGTCAACATGAAATTCAGTTTTGTAATTGTAACTCATTTTGGCCCACTGTACAATGTTTGCTAACTTGGCAAAGGCGACAATGACATTGAAATTGTCTTGAGGTGCTGTAGTTCGCATTACCGTGGCTGCATTGTGATCAGAATTTATAAGCAGAAAATAAGATCAGGGACTGCTGCCGGGGGAGGAGCAAAGAGAAGCCAAGCCAGAGGTGTGAAGCGCTTCTATTATATGAAATCACAGCATCGGCGTGTTATCAATGTTCACTAGACACGTTCTGAGTAATATTTGGTAATATATATATTTGCTTTAAATAATAATCCAATATCGACGACTTAAAGAATTTTAGAGCAATGTAAAGGATGAAGCCTTACAAACTTAATGAAAGACTAATTTTTTGTCAAAGTGCAAGCCTACGGAACGTGCGTTAAATATGCGAGAAACGTATGTTTCGCAGCTTGGGGCGACAAAAAGAGATTTAGACACTAGCAAAAAAAACTGCCATAATTGTATCACGTGTAGGGCTTGAAGCAGGAGGGGCATTGCACTTCATAAACAATGCTAAAAGGCGTTGAGGATTCGCACAAGAAAACTGGTGGTCAGGAATGCAGCACAGAGAGAAGGCCTTCCTTCTAGCAGGCAGCACCCCAGCTCCAGCCCCAGGCACAATCGCAATCGCTTCTGTTCTGAGCCTGGTTGTCCCACTTCGGAATGATCAGGCATGACTATGACTGACAGCCCGAATGCGAGGCTTCGTAAAAAGTTTCTGCTCTGGACAAACAGAGGTGGCCACGGACCGCTGGACGGCTTACGTTGAATGCACATATCGATCGTTGGCCGGTGACCGCCTCCATCATAAGCCAGGGGCGACACTTTTGGGCCAGTCCAGATCGGGCCAACAGAATATTTTTATACGCTCGCGTTCGTAATATAAATGAGGTAGGCATGCAGCAGCATCAGCATCAGCATCAGCATCAGCAACAGTAACAGCAACAGCAGCAGCAGTAGGAATATCAGGATCGTGCCCATCTTCAATTCGATCTCTCGATTTCCGATCCAAAGCGTTTTTTGTAACCATTCGCTAAGTTTAGCGCGACGAAAAACGCGCGCGCCGTTCTCTTTCCTGGGCATTTGGATTTCGCGCTCGTTTCGAGGTTTTTGTATCGCTTACCTGCAGATATACGAGCATGTGCAACAGCGTCTGCGTTAGGCAAAGGAACTGAATCTGCTCAAGGAGCGCGTCTTAGTGCAGACTCAGCTACTGCAATGTTTCGTCGCGCTTTTAGCATTTGATTTGTGATCCGGTTTTTGCGACTGCTACACGTTTGCCGCATAAATCAAGATATTGTCGGAGAATCAGACAAGATGAGAAGCAGCCCCAAACATATCTGGCCGTGCCTGAGAAAGCAATCGATGCGACAGATATTTTTATGGCCGTAATGTTGTTGTTTGATACGATTAGCGGCTTTAAATGTTTGACAACGTATATAAGTGTTAATTGACATCGGAATATTCAAAATAATCCTCAATAATGGTTTTAGATAAATAAAAAACAATTGTTATAAAAGTGAAAGTGAAAAAGTGTGTGTGTGTGTGTATATGTGTGTGTGGGACGGGGGCTTAGATGGGCGCTCCCCAAGGCTCTGTGTTGTTTTTAATCGATTGCTTTACTCAGATTCTGCAATGTTTCAAATATTAATTGAATGGTAATACCTTCCGTTGTCGTACTTTTGCTTCTTATTACTGAAAGTTAAAGTCTGGGTGTCTTCCGCTTTCCTAACTATGGACCTTTGACACCTTTAATATTGTGACATTTTCAGATTTTCCCTTCTTACCTTTTGACCATTTGTCTCTTTTTCCTGGTCCAGTTTTTGTTGTTGACTTCAATGCGGCGCTGCTCTTGTTAAATAAACCCATTTTTTATGGGTAATTTCCTAAAGGTTGACTTAATTACACCCGGCCGAACTTGAACTCGAGATCTGGGCGATGAGCCAGGCTTGTCAACGCATTTCGAGATTGATTTCTCTGTTTCTTGTGGCTAACTCCGACCGCTGTGCGCGCAATTAAACCGTAAAAAGCGGTTAGGCAAACCGAACATAAGAGCAACAATGGGAAAGGGTTAATTGGCAGGCACCGGTAACAGAAGCAGTTATGTTCTCATTTAAAACGCTCGACAACAGGTTAAAGCCAAATGTGAGGTAATAAAAATTTAAAAATGCTTTCCTGCTTTCCTCATGGGTCCGCTCATTAAAAACGGATCGATAAGCATATATCGAACGAAACAGTAGCACCAGCGCTCCCTCGAAAACTCGAAAAGTAGCCAAAAACTGCGACATTTACATAATGAGCTTTTATTGTTGCTTGATGGCACCCAAAAGAGCAATATCTATAAACTAACAACACATAATTTAGCGGAAATAAGTCAATTATAGTAGTATAGTCTTAATTTGCTAACTCGTCTTTCGAAAAGCCTGCAATATCAATTGTGAATAATTCAAATTGATTTATGTTGACATTCTTAAATCTGGCTTTTGTCTTTTGGCTTAAATCAGTGAGCATAGCGAAAATCGGAGCATATGGAGAATGAACATGTATAGTACGCTAGTGCCAGTGCATATAGTGCTGCATCTATCTAGCCCGTCTTCTAGATTTACATACCTTTATAAGGATATACTTCCTTGAGCACTAACTGAAGTTGATCGATTTCAAACTGAGCGCAGCTGGAATGGGTCATAAGAACCACGTACTGAAAAGAGAATGTGCCAGAAAGACACATAGACGAACAAGTGAGACGATAAGGATACTGTGGCTAAGTTAGAGCCATCAGAACGCGCTCGTAAACGATTCGTCAAATCAAATGAGTAATGCATGCTTCCGCATCGGCATTCGCATTTCCTAAGAGAAGGGCAAGTGATTCACCTGCTCCTTGACGCGCACACATTAGCTGCGCATCGGCACTGCTGCCCGCATTATCCTCGGCTCTCGACGAGTTCTCAAGTGGCCATCATTAGCTTGGTCGCTTGGTCGACAATTACGCCACTTCAATTGTCTTTGACATGACTACACAGGATCTGCAACGTAGCTTGATGCACCTTTCAAATCGCACTCTGCTCATTTTCTTTTCCTTTTAACAAGTCCTGTGCCGATGCTGGCCGCCTTGCTCGCGCCTCCTTCGCCTGGCAATGGTAATGGAATTATAATTATAGACTCCGCTCCCTCGCTCGCTGTTCTGCACTGGCTAATGTTGTCAGCGCGTTTCGTGGCCAGTTTGCGGTTGCAGGTTCTGATGTCTCCACATTAAATTGTCAAATTGTTTGCGCCTTCCTTATCATGATGTTTGGCAAGCAAAGGGAAGCACGTGCTCATCATTTCTCAATGCCCTGTAGTCATGAGGCATAAACGTTGTTGTATTATGTGCTTTTATACCCTATATTGGTATAAAATGGTATATTGTCGGGGAGAAGAATTCTCAACCCCCTTAAGTGCAAGCATCCATATGTGTGCTATATATATACATATATAACATGTATATATATAAGCATATGTATATAGTTTTTTAATATATGAATTATATCTATACATACATAAATATTCATATATACATATATATATATATATATATATATATATATATATATATATATATATATATATATATATATATACACACATACACACATATATATATATATATATATATATATATACACACATACACACATATATATATATATATATATATATATATATATATATATATATATATATATATATATATATATATATATAAATTTATTACATTTTAAATTTCCAAAGCCAAGATAAAATCAAGCTTGTTGCTCACCATTGATGTATATTTATCTATATTTTAAGACGCCATCTATGGTATAGAGTTTGTTTGTGCAGAAGCTGCTTGATATGATAATTTAGTACATGCATAATCCATATGATTGTAAGCTCTTTCGAAATTGCTTTATGAAAAACTTTTTCAAGATTCCATCTAGTGTATAGAGTGCATTTGTTCATCGTGCAGAAGCTGTTTGATATGACAATTTAGTAGTTTTATAATCCATATGATTATAGGCTTTTTCACACTTGCATTTAAAAAAAACTATGCTTTAAGACGCCATCTATGGTATAGAACGTGTTTGTGCACCTTGCAGTAGCTGCTTGATATGATAATTTAGTCGATGCACAATCCATATGATTGTAGGCTTTTTTCGAAATTGCATTTAAGGAAATCTATATTTTAAGTATAAAGAGTGCTTGTGCACCGTGTAGAAGCTGCTTGATATGATTATTTAGTCGATGCACAGTCTATATGATTGTGGGCTATTTTCGAAATTGCTCTTAGGGAAATGTATAACAGAAGGCATATAATTGTATACTTGTATATGCTAAATTGCAGTTAGGGAAATATCCAATAAAACATTTTGGCTAATGTAGCAACGACTGAAGGTATCTTGGATGAAAATTAATTTTAGATGAAATTAAGGTTAATATACCTTAATTTTAATTTCGAGGGTTGACCACTCAAGGGTTTCTATAGTCAATATTAAATAATGATCACATTCAGTGATATTCTATGCCTATTTGAAAAGCTTTTACCAAGTGGTAAAACAAAAATTTTTAAATTATCATTATTGATACCCAATTGCCTTAAAGCGGTTTAAGGCAGCATACGGAATTACTATTGTTACGAGACTTGCTGAAATACAAATTGTTGTTTTTAATTTAAAGCGTGAGGCAACAGGAAAAGTATGAATGCCCTTAAAAGCGAATTTTACTTGAACACAAAAATGCGTTGCGCATAAAAGGTCAAAAGGCCATTTGCGCCTAATTTAATTTTATTTGCAGTCTGTGAGAATGAAAAAGACTGTGGATGCAGGGGGCGTGTTGCCGTTGCTTAGGGCCGCCTGCCTAATTCAATTATTGTACCACTGTAAATATGATTTACACAGGCAGCGTCACTCAGCAGCGCGACTCTGGCGATGCCTGGGCAACAATTCATACGCACATTTGTTCGGCTAGAGGTCATAAAAAAGCGACTTACAAAAGAAGCTGCGAAACAGCAGCTGAATTTCGAGGAGTCGCCGTTAACCATGTAGCCGCCTATCATTCACATTTCAGCCCGAACGGCAACGAAACAGTAGCAATTCAAACAAAAAGTATCTGCAGTTATTGTTGCAACACAAACGAAGCTTGCTGATAAAATCTCCGCAGATGACGAAAGCACGGATTAAGAAAAGTATAGTGTGGCCTTCAACGTGTGCTCGACTTGCCTTTTATCGGGCATCCAAATCAGTTCAGTTTGGTTAAAGACTTGGAGTTATTTCTCTAAGGACATACGACTACCAGAAATTTGTACATATAAAGATAGTTTACAGATATTATTATTTTAGCTAAGAATATAAATTTGGCAAAAGTTTGTCAAACACTTCAAAAAATGTTTGTGGCAAAATATGGATAAACTTAAGTTTCGTATGCTGCTGTTGCCTGTCGGTATAATTTATGTCATAAAAACTGTGAAAAACTAAGAAAATATTTTGCATAAAACAAAGAACATCTCTTCAGATACTCACACGCTCCCTCGCACACAGGCACACACGCAAATCTAGGAAAAAATGATGTGGTAATATGGAATGTTTATTTGCTGTGAAATTTGAGGCAAGCAATGCACGCCGACATTCAGTAAAATTCATTTTCAGCACTGCCACAGCTAAATATTAGAACTCGTAATAGCTCCACTTGGTACCCAGTTTGCACACATTTCATAAACATAAATGTAAATTACTTTAAACCAGCGAACATCAAAGTCAAACTTCAAAATGGATATTAAGCATTAACAAATTTTCACTTTTCAAACAGAAAGCAGTAAAGAGAAAAGAGGAAACGGAAAATAATTTCGTTGTGCCTCGAAAGCGGGGATGGCTGGAGAATATGAAGTAGATCTTAAGCGACCCATTGCTGCCAATTAATTTGACTTTTATTAAAGAAATAATGAAATTAAACAACGAAACCGAAAACTTAAGCATAACCGAACGGGGTTCAATGGTTGGGGTTAGGGTGAGCCCCTTATTGGCCCTTGATTGATGAAACCATCCAGCAATCAAGCATCACTCAAAGAGAGGAGCAGCTTCACAAAGTTTGTGGTTTTCCTGTTAATGAATAATACCCAAACGGGCAATGCCAATGGGACACATGTGCTTCCATCTCTCTCTCTCTCTCTCTCTCTCTCTCTTCGTGTTCGCCCTTTCTGGCAGTATCAATGTGAAAAGTGAAATAGTGTCATAAATTAATTAAACTGTCGCTCTTTTAGCCTATGACACTTGAGCTGTCAACTCTAGTGAATATTGAACAATCTCTCGCTTCATTGAAACTTTTGAAGGTGTACAAACATAGCCAGTCTCAGCAGTTAATGTCAAAATAAAGAAGAGATTTTGCTAACAGACATCCAATTGAACACTGAGCCAAGCGACTACGATCAGGGAGAAGGAGGCGTGGCAGACCCCATAAAGTATATATAATTTTGACCAGGACGACAAGCTGACACTTACTTTAATATACTA